CGTCAATTTTTGCTATTTATATTCACCGTTAAGTCTAGAAAGCTGTGCAATAAGTGCATATCTTCTATATTATAGAAATGCATCGCAAAATCTGTTGGTAAACGCATAACTCAACAACGCCAAGACCAATTTGGCCAGTTCTTTTTTTAAATGTTTGTTAAAGTCCAAGGAAGGTTCTTACAGCGAGAAAATTTCAAATAATTACCAGGAAAACCCTAAAAACAGCCTTTTTCTATAGGATAAAAGCTGGCATTGAGATTCAATCATAGTTATAATTAATTAGTTAAATCCGAGATGTCGCGCTGAAGTGCATTATTAGCAATTCTTTATATAATTTTTTTAATAAAATTGCAAAATATATTGACAGAATTGACACACACTATGTCTAGAACAAGAGAGTAAATACGAATAACATTTTTATTATTCAGTCGGTCGAAATCGCGGGCAAAAGCTAGTAATTTAAAAAGACTGGTTTATATTATAGGTAGGTACTAAGGATGTAATGAAGATAGCCAGTAGAATTTATTAAATATCCTTTATCACGCTCGCAGTAAATTTTCATAGAATTTGATTAATTTCGCAACATTTATACTTTTAAGCACTTTCGCGTCACGTCAGATGTTAAGGTCGTAGTTTAATTACGCGGGGCGTAGCGCCTGCAGAAGCCGCACATAAAACACACACGTACGCGCTGGAAGCGGCTGCGGAAGCGGCGGCGGCAGATACGAGAGTAAATAGAGTGTTTTCGGGAAAATTAATTAGTTATACGCGATATACGATATAATTAGCATTGTGATAACGAATTAATGTCGTTGCTAAACAAACGTGGCGCGGCTGCGTCCAGTTCCAGTTAGTTAGCGAAAGTTTGAAATTAATTAAAATGCACGCTGACGCCGACAACAAAACTAATTTTTATCAGTTTATCATAAACTTGTTAATTAACCGGGTTTATAATTAAAATATAAATATTGTGTTTTAACAGTAGGGGGAAGTCCCGTAACGCCGGACGGCACCTAGCACCGGACACTCGTACTATTTAAGCTAGTTTAAATCTTTTCATTTCAAAAAACAAGTGAAAGGGGCGCGGGGGGCACACAGGTACAGGATCACTCGTCGTGGCTCGCCAGTAACGCACACGGCCACGGCGGGAGCAGCCGTTTGCTGTTTCAGGCGCAAAATCACGACGTCACCTAAATATCAATGTATGTAATACTAGTATATTTATGCATTTACATTTGAGTGGTATTCAAAGATACAAGTAGTACTTGATTGTTATCCGTAAAATGGTAGAATATTATTAGATTTTTTAAACAATTTTGGTAGGTATCACCAAATGAACGAAAATGTCTGTCCCTTAGCACCGGACACTAAGTTGTCCCTTAGCGCCGGACAGTAAACAAATTGATATTTCTTGTGAGAGAGAGAGAGTGAGGAGATGGCTATGTTGCAGTCAATGCATACATTTAGTAAATGTATACATTTACTAGTCAATGCATACATTCGCTAAAATTCGTAGTTAAAGTATTCATTGTAACTGAAATGAACACATTAGCTAGTGGATGTATGCATTCACGGGCTGCTTCTAGTCAGTGAGTTAAATCCGTTGATTAAATCGTTAAATTCTATCACCCCACCCCCCACCGCCCCATAAATAATACCAAACAAGGTAGCCTACCTAACCATATGACATATTTGAAATGTCCGGTGAGGGGGGTATGGCACAAATATGTGTCCGGTACTAGGTGCCACTTTTTAAAACTATACTTTTTATTACCAAAGTTTGATCGATAGTATTAATTATTTTTTAACAGAGGTTGCATTTTTGTTATTTTAATTTGATTTCTAACTTTGTTAACTACTATATGTCATAATTTAATTAACATTTCTTCAAATATTTTTTGATTTATTTATAAATAACCTTAGGTGTCCGCCACTAGGGGACTTCCCCCTAACTATTATTTATAATAATTGTGTACATTTGTAAATCACATAATCAAAATTTCAATTTTTGGACAAAAAAAAATCATGTTTCGAATTGTGCTTAATATCCAATAAGATTCACGTTTGCCAGAAGCTACGTTATTGTGTTATCGATTTGTGTAAGCAGTAATCCCCGAAGCTTTGCCGCCGACACACGCATCGTCAGCTCATAATTCGTTTTAATCGTCTTATTAGATCTATTTTCGCCCTCGCCGAACTGTTTCGGCTTCCTGAAGACAGGCTTTGCGCCCTAGTCCGCTTGATGTGACCGCCACGCCACAACCGAAGCCGACATTGTCGGTAAATAAGAACAAATACAAGCGAATGTTTGCCGATACTGACTTAGTCGGCGTTGAATGAGAAAAAGTTGCCGTCGTGTTTTTATTCAGGTACGAAACTTTGCCAAGGTGTTGCACACAAAAGACGTACAGATTTTTCACGCTGTGTGATCGTTTCTAACATCTACGGCGATTCGTTATACCTCGTCTACTTTACATGGAAATAAAATAAAACCGACGGAAAATAGAAAACCAGTGATTCCAAAAAATAAAAATAAACTAACATCATTAATATTTGTCGTTGCCGTGTGTACATTCATTAATTTGCATAAGCTATACGCGATAAATTAGTCATCGAGTTCTTGGTTTACTTTAATTTCGCTTTCCAGTTCACGGTTATACGAAACTCGTAAATTTTAATGGATGTTATTTTAAAAATAAATTATACTGCGCGATGCATGAAACATTAAAAATTTAAACTAAAATTTAAACCGTTTAAACAGTTGTTAATAAAATGTTTGGTATCACTGGCTCGTAGGTTAGATACGTACCTACCTCATGGTTCAATGGTGCAGAAACGATGCATTCTGTTTGCCGTGCAAAACCGTCGGTTTGACTGTTCGACTGAAAAGACGCGACCCCCCAAAAGGCGCGTTAAGCTAATCAGCGTGAACACGATGGATGTCACCCGAGGACGAGCAGCTAAAGAAAATCATGGCATATCTAATGATCAGCTGCTACCTTCATGGGGAATTTAAATCTTGCATTGGAACATTGGTATATGCACATGCGTATGCACATGCATGATAATCCAATAAAATAACACATGACAAGATCAGGCGACATACGACGTAGCCGTCGGCAAACACCATGTCAGGAATTTTATGTCATTCAGGTTTATTTGTTTGTGCGGTCTAGATTTTTAGGGTGGCTGAAACGTCTTTCGTAGGAAAAGGAAATAAACACGTCGTCGAGACAAAAAGAAAACTTTTTTGATGAGGCCCAACTTTGCAAATAACAACAGCTCAAAGGGAGCAAATATAATAAATATATACAAATGCAAGGGATCCAGGGTAGAAATATGTAAATAAAATTCATAAGAAATAATAGGTGGTCGCTATTAGCATATGCGTCCAGACTGCAAAATGTGCATTGCTTACATAATCTGGTCCAATATGAACATCATAAATATTAATCTAAAAATGTTGGATCCTATTAAATAAATTGCAAGTATATGTACGGCGGTTTTTGTCCCGATAAGATGGCTAGACACATTCCATTGTTCTTTGTTGTAAATTGCGGCAGTTCGCGAGTCGCGAGTTGCACACGCGAGCCAGAGGAAGAAGGCGGAGAGAAAACGTGTGCCGTGCATAAGCAGACACGAACGTCGGCCGCGGCGTCGAGTGTGAGTCGTTACGAGAACATGATGTCTTCATTACGTTTCACTCGAACCGCTTCGCCGCACGTCCAACGGTACCGACTTTCCAGCGCTGCACGCTGATGAAGGTGAAGAGACCAGAATAAAAAAACAACACCACAACACAACACATTGGCAAGAAGAGCGAGTATGTTGTGCGCGTATTATTATTATTAGCGTGGTCTGGCGGTCTGCGCTCGTCCTCCTCGTTTTTGTTCTTCCTCGGTCCGGCCCAAATTGATTGGCCGTGAGGCTCCGGCCAGGCATCGAGCACCCGAGTCGCGTCCGAGACTGATGAAGTCATTAAAAGATTGGACCGCGGGGCCGCTCATTTTTACAATATGACAATATACAATAAGCACACGGCAGCAGGTGGAAGAGTGTATTTTGCGCTGCGTGTGCATCAGGCGCCGATTTCAGTCGTCAATCTGCATCTGCAGACCAGCAACGATGAAATTGGTTGTCCGAATGGCGAGAATTCACAAGTGCGCACTCGAATATTTCTTTCTCCCCGGAGCACCGAGAAGAAATATGTAAATTCAGTACAACGCCATTGCTAAACGGCAATTTTCCCTCCGACAGCGATGCACCAGTTGCTCGTGTAATTGCGAATTCATGCAACCGCGCCGCACGCATTAAAAATCAAGCGTGGATACGTGGCAGCAGCGCAATAAAAGTGTTTAAATTTTTGATGCAGCAAACACCTCCACAAAACACGAATGAAATTGCCACGTTGAAAATGTTACCGCGTTTTATTATTATCTATATCCATGCAACCACAGCCCACACCTACAAATCGTAAAACCGTAAACCCCAAACATAACACGAGACTCAATATGAGCGCACGCCGAAAAAAACGCTGCCGGCCGGAAAGTTGCGAGTGCCTGATGTGCGGAAAATTTTATAGAGGAACAAGCTTGATGCCTGCATAAACTTCCATCATAAATCTTTAAAGCGTTTAGAGCCATCCTCGTATTCGGCGCGCATAGTAGACGGATAGAGAAATAGAAATCCACGAGCGGGGCGAGCGCTGGATCCACGGAACTTGCGACGAGCACGAGAGAAGTATGTAAGTACATTTCTTCTGGATGGTTTTCTCGTGAATATCCCACGCCCCGCACTCTTGCACAAGTTGATGCTTGTGTCGTTTAGAAGTACTTAGAACAAAATCGAACTTTTCGCCGCGTGCAGAAAATAAAAATAAATTTACATCGCTTATTTAATTTATTAAAACAGTTTACTTTTATATTTGAAATATTTCCCAGTACCTATAGGTACCTACTCGTAATCATGATGGACAGACTTTACGTTGTACCGATATCAAGATTTCAAGAATGTAAAATATGCTTTGCATCAAAATCCGTCTCTCAACTTGGCTATTGATTTTGTGAGTATTATCAAGCCGGAGACATCAAGGAATTTTTCAAATGTCAACCGAGAACCGAAGATTTATAAATGTTTAACGTGGAGACTGGTCTTTTCCTCGCTACGATTGACTTTGATTGAATTTCGAATCAAATTTGTAAATACAGAGAAAAAAAAACCTTCGGACCGGTTGGGCGGGTAGATGGGAATCGTTGCCTAATGCGTATATGTCATATTAATTATCATATAATAAAATGGGTAGTAGCCGGTTTCGGAAGTCCCTGCTCGCCGAGATAAAAAGGCCATACAATGAATTATAAGCCACTATCAATTGACATATCTCGGTCGGACGCACTTGGCGCTCGCTCCAGTTCCACGGTTCCTCGTAAACACATCGTAGAAGAATGGAAGGAAGCCAGCAACGCGTATAAATGAAAAACAAACGATCGGAGCGGAGGAGAAAAATGAACGTCCAGCTCCGCAGACGAAAAAACACAGCGAACTTATCGGAACATAATTTTTCTTTCTCGTTGGGCACGAGCAACAGACACAAGACCTTCAGAAACGACTTTCAGGTATGATCATCAATCTATACAAAGTGGGTATTAAATATTGAGTCATTCAAATCATTCCTAAAAAAAATCATCTATCAAGATATTAAATTAATTAACACATTTTTAACTTATAACCTGGTATTTTAAATTTAAAATTAATTTTTATTTATTTTATTATTAACATTACTCAAATTGAATTTTACCTTAAGTACGCTATTGTTTTATGCTTGCAGCACAATAAATATCCTACACCTTCAAAGTGCTTAAGATTTTCTGTTCGTTTTATAGCCGAAAATTTCACCTGAAAACGTTTTTGATTTATGTTTATTTAAATAACACATTGTGGGCTTTTGTTCGTAGTTAATAAACACTTCGGTGCTGGTGCCGGACGATCGCGCTCATCGCTGTGGGGGCCGGCTTATTATACTTTACAACATCGTAAACGTAAAATGGACGCCAGCAAAGAAGGTATGTAACTAATTAGGTGCTTAGATGTTACAACATCGAACATCGCCACACGAAATATCTTAATGTCTAGCGATCGCCTCTATTTTTTTTTTGGATTTTTTTCTTCACGTTCCTATCTCGTATATAACTTTATTCGATTCGATAGCGCCCAATTGCTCGCATGTGAGCGTGCCGCGTGATTCAAAACGCCGAACATGCAGATAGCGCCGCGTGGCAGGCAATCAACTGGTTAATCGAGCCGATATAGTTACAATATGATAATTTAAACCATAATTTACGCATACTTTACATCATAACGACTCAGGTTTGAGATGCTCTAATCTGCTTCGACTTTCATAGTAAGTACAAGAAGCAATTTACATTTATATATTTTTTGAGGTTAGGTTGTGGCATGCTGTGTTACCGTTAAGCGCTTTGGTGTTGCACGCGTGGATAGTGAGAAATTGTTGCGGAATTGGCAGCCATTTGGTAGTTTGATTAAAATTGAGGCGTGTGCCCCTCTTTGTAATAATACTATTGTTTTAGGGCGAGCCACTCCACCTCGATGCTTCATTCCTTGGGTGGGAAATAATAAGTAGCTGTCGTGTGCGATTGCACCCTCTCCTGGCCATTGTCACGCCATCATGTTGTTCGTCTCCACCACACGCACGCCCGATGACAAACCCCACGAATTATCTGCGCTCATTACAGCGCCGCAGCGCCGAAATTGAGTAATGAGTATATTAATGGCGGCACAGACGGTGCACAACGAACAGTAAACAGCCAACAGTCGGCAGTCGTCATTCCAGACAATAGCAGATGATGCACACGACATGCAGGCGTGTTCAAAAGAGAATTCTGTCGATATAAACAAAATGTTTACATGCGACGGCGTGGTGCTTGTGTGGAAAAGCAAATATTATATTAGCGCACACCGCGCACGAATCTTCGTGTAATTGGCGCATTATTCACGATACGAATGAAATGAAACCGGCAATTATCCATTATTTATTTTAATTAAAGTCTGGACGCGTCTGTGCAGTCGCCGCTCGCCGTTAAGCCGTGCCACCGCCACCAAGGGGGATTGCGGCCGCTGTGGTGCGGTTCGTTTCGGTGCCGCCACGCTCATTGGGTGAAATGTTGCTTAATTGCTTATGGAATATGAATTATAAGTCTAGACGTTGCACAGCTCGATATAAAAAGTGGAGTGGTCATGTGAATAAAACACAAGAGATAAAAAAGAAATTCATACCCTAGTGTGTAGGTATCTATATTACAAATTATATTTTTGTTTGTAGATTGGGTTGCGGCGAAAATTCACGATGCACTCGAACATCACGCGATAGTGGGTATAGTTGGCAGATAAATATATACGAACCGTCGGCGAGTGGAATAAAAAACAGATGCAAATTGAAGTAAATTGCTGATGCGCGCAATGCATCCCAACAAAAAATGCTTTGCCCATTTCCGTCATTTGCATTTGCATCCGAAATATGATTAAATCATTAGTACAATGCACCGCTCAGATTTCCATGCACAGGTATACTACAAAAAATATTTAAAATCCAATACTTACGATTTGCAACTTAATAAAGTTAGCAAAATGTACTAAAAATACCATGAGACACATATGCTCATTGCTCATGCTTGTGTTCGCCCCGGCGGATATAAAAAAAAAACGAACTCTGCACATGATGTCGTGATTAATGTCTTCATTTTCGACCTGCCGGGTTCGTTGTCGTGCCTTTGTCACGTCGGTGCGGGCATAATTAAATGAATGTGTTGTCTGGCATTTTTCGTTTTCGACGAAAATACGCAAGAAAGAATTTTACCACGAAATAATCAACGGAATCAACCGCAGAACAAGGTGTAACAATCGAACCGAATCAGATAAATAACTGATAAAATAGATGTACAATTGCCGTGATGGCTCTAACTTCAACACACCGTGCGATAAAAAATTTATTTCAATATAATTTAAATAAAATGCTTATATTTTCTTAACGCTCGGTATTAATGCATGCACATTCGTCCAATTAAAAGCAATGTAAACAAACCTGACTCAGGTAAACAAGCGACGAGGAAAAATACCAATCATTCGTACACCTTTTCGATGCAATGCCGTTAAAACGCATATCGCAACATGCCTTTCGATGCATTTTTGTGTATAAAGCTCAAGTTACCAAAAATACTCGACATTCTTTCCGAATTCCATGTGAAGCGGCTGAAAATTATCTTGATTAACAATCAATACCTTCGTAGAACGCCAAACAACTGGCGTTGAAACTTGTCCGGCGGCACATTAATATGAACGCCGAGGCGCAGCGATTAAGAGAATTAAAACCGTCGGCTGGGTTTTGTTTTATTTTCGTTTTTATCATCAGTGATGCGCGACACTTGGAAAAAGCGTTTATCGTCGCGATAATGTAAAACCGTTTACTCCAGCTTCGCGTTGTCATTCGTTACATCGCGCGCTACCAACTTAATTCCGGATTTAATTATATCTTAACAATTTTTTCCGCTCGCTTGAACACATCCAAGTCGAGGCAAGTACATAACAAACGCTCAGGAAAGTTAACGATTTAATTAAGATTTCCTAGTTTGTTCGTGTTAGTAAGTTGGATATTTTTCCCGCTGCGTTTTCATCATTCGGTTCATTTCGATTTTCTGCTTACGCCTGAACATCTTGTTCCAACTTTTCACACTTTTTATTCCGACTGATTGAAACGTATGATTATCTCAAGCGTAACTCGGAAGGTGCAGCGACAAGTTAAGCAAGTTAAGCTTGGTTTAAATTAGAAATCTATCTTTAACTTTAAGATACTGACTGATTATTATTTATAGTCATAAACAGTTAATTTTAAAATTAAAAACAATGCAATTGTGATCAAAATAAATAAAAATTAATGAATGGTCAATATAATAAAAATGATTACTCTATTCAGTTTACGCATTAATAAACTGACTCATACGTAAATACGGTAGTAACAGGCTGGCATCGAATAATGATAATAATAAAAATCGAAAAAACTAAACGAGGTAATAATGGTATATTAAAGAAGGTTCTCTTTAACGAGGTGATAAAACGTGGAATTTTAATATTTTATCCAATGCGGATAAATGCGGCTTCTAAACGTAATATTGCCATTTCTCATTGCATTTCATCAGCAACGCCGAAAAGCCATTATTGGTGCAGTCAGCAATGGTGCTATTTTCGGAAATTCCTGATATGTTGTTACAACTTTCTCACCGTTGAGTGTAATTCTGTAATTCCACTCCTGCAGCTCTATATATAAACCCGGATCGAAATGCGTCTCTTTCGCGCTTTTTATTGCCAAAGAAGATATGCAATAAAAACGTGAAATGGAGCTTTTTAGTATTGGCATTAAACAAGGCCGCCACGCACCTTTTATAACCACCTTAACGGCTGTAAACGAAAACGTAACACACCTTCCATAGTATAGGCATATTATTATCAAACTGAATTTACTCTCTGAAGAAAACATCAAAAATAGACAAACCATCGAGCGGAAACGATTGAATCGCTTTGAAGAAATTTTGTTTTCGTTTGTTTTGGCCTAATGATCAGGTACACCAGCATGGCGAATAAAAGCGATCAAACGCGCAGATGGTTCGGTGCTTATTCTACCGTGTCACCCCTTTTCGACACCACCGCGAATAATTGGAAAACTCATTCACTCCATTATTCGAAACTATGACTAACAACTTCGTTGCCATGTTTAATCAACGCGAACGAATGCCCGAAACAGCATTCGGTAGACCCGATACACCAACGCACCAACCGATCATCGATTAAATTAATTTGATCGATTTTGTCGTGTAATCAAATCGAAATTTGGAATAAAATGTACGCAATACGTTGCTCGTAAATACTTATTTTCTCGGAAATATTTTAACTAGCTTTTGCCTGCGACATCGGGCTGGTAGTGTTTATTAAAAATGTAATTCGCTTTTACTCTCTTGTTCTAAACATAGTATGTGTCAATTCTATCAAAAAGATTCGCAATTTTATTTTAAAGAAATTAATTATATAAAGAATTGCCAATGCACTTCAGTGCGCCATCTCGGAATCAACTATATAACTATTACTATGAATGAATCTCAATGCCAATTTTTATCATATAGAAAAGTGCTGTCTTTAGGGTTTTCTCGGCAATTATTCGAATTTTTCTCGCTGTAACAACCATCCTTGGACTTAAACGCACATTTAAAAACAATAATTTTCCAAATTGGTCTCGGCGTTGTTGAGTTATGCGCTTACCAACAGATTTTGCAAGTTATTTTTATATTATAGAAGATTTACAAAAAGTAAACAGATTTTTTGTCGGAAAGATTCTTTTTGTGCTCGGGGAAACAATTTAGATCATGTATTTTTTCTACACTTGACTCTAAGCCAACTCTCGCCCTGTAAGCGATTTTTTAAACGTTTCAAATTAAGAGGAGGCCAAGAATGACATGATGAAGAAGTAAAAAGGGCTGAACCTTGCAGGTATAGCTAGCCCCTGATCGTGTACAGTTAATCTGCCTAATCAATCTCGTTCTAGGTGCCTTAGAGACTCCCGAGGTAAGCCAATTTAATTTAAATAATGAATTGTTTCGGCCGCACCGGTCGCACCGCACTTCTAACGTGCACGCGCGTCCCAAGAAGAGAAAAAAAAAGCGCACAGACTTCGCTTTACATTAGACGAAATTACTCTTCATTTCCTAACTCGTCCATTCTTTCCCAGGTCGGTCTTTGATTCTCTACTACTACTCCAATGGTGAATGCGAAGTGTTGCATTCATAAGTCAAGCGTCGAAACGTTGACAAGCACCGACAGGCGCAACGTGTGCCCCGACAAGCGTGTGTCCCTTTTCCACGAGCCGCCGCGTGGTGGGAAATATTCCATGGGGCTAATCTTAGATTAATCACCTTAATGAAACCCCCGCACCCGTGACGCGGTGTGTGATGGGAGAGAACCGAACGAAGCGGTCCGTTGAGATAGTCGTTGAGATAATGCAGTGTAAGCGAAGACTTTCTCTTCCACACGCTGAGCACACCTAACTAATATTGCAATAATTAAGCCATGCAAGCACGTGTCGTTAATATCGTGAAACCATCATGTGAAAGCTTCCGTGCAATTTGCGTTTTGTTCGCGAGTTACGATTATCTGAATAATTTTCTGTTGCAATGCTGTGCATGCGATCGTCGATCTGAGAACAAGATAGTTTTAATTATAGATTATTAAGATAATTATATCTGGACAGTTGTGGAGTTGATGTCTCAATTCCTGACGCGTATCAGCTGCCCATCTCGAGCGCGCACCGAAATTACTTCATTACGTCGGCTTTTATAATTAAATGCTCATTCGGAAAGTGGAAGCGCAAGAATAAAAGAAAACAAGCACGAAAACTGAAACGCGTTCCGAGCTTGCTACAGAGCTGATGAGATGTGAGTTGATGAAGACTTCAATAAGGACGTGGGTAATAAGGCGAATGTCAAAGCAAACGAAAGAAATAATAAAGGTTTGAACTTGAGACATTTTTAAAGTGCTGTTAAAATGTTATTTTGGTAACTGGCAAATTCAAGTTTGGCTGTAAATGCTGAGAATGGGTTGGTACGGGAAGGTAGGCGTTGTTTTCCGCTCGAATTAGCATGTCGGCGATTGCCGAACGCCCGTTTCACGTATTCGTTGTATGCGTTGGGAGACTGCTCCCCGCACGAAACCGTCGACGTCCGACCGGATGGGCAACCATCATGGAGGCGAAGGAAAAAGTCGTGTGGTACGGTTCCACCAATTATAGCGCATTGTTTATACCCAAACAGGATGCGCGCCGACTGATTTCGATCGTGCACTCTGATAGATTTCCATCAAGTGTACGTACGCAAAGGAAATGTCAGTGGCGTTGAAAACGGGGCCGGGCAACGTCAAACGAATGTCCGCAGAGTGCACGCACACAATGCCGGTCGGGCAGAGTTTACTTATGAGGTTTTTATGCTAATTTAATTAATTACTCAGTTAAAAAGTTGATTGGCAATCAAAAAAGTCAAAAAAGAAGAGGCGTTTTATTCATATTAAAGTCAAATTGTATTTTTTCTTTGTTTTGAAGTGCTTGAAAGTGCTGACAATGGTGTTTAAAAAGCAAGTCAATAAAAGAAGAATTTTAATCCCTTCGATAAGGGCTATTTGAATAGGTTCAGCGGTTGTTTACACAGTTTTAACAGGGTCTTCAGAGGCTTTGTATCGAATCGCTGCGCTGCGCCGATTGGGTACTTT